GTGTGGAAGTTCCTCAAAAAATTAAAAATACAACTACCTTATGACTCAGCAATCCCACTTCTGGTTATATATTCAAAGGAAATGAAATCATTATCTAGAAGAGGTATCTGCACTCCCTGTTCATTGTAGCGTTATCCATAAGAGCCAAGGTATGGAAACAACCTAAGTGTCTACTGACAGATGAATGGATAAACAAAATGTGCTACATATGTAACGGTAGGGTATTGTTCAGCCATGAGAAAGAAAGACATCCTGCTGTTTGTGGCAACACAGATGAGCCTGGAAGGCATGATGCTTAGTGAAATAAGCCAGACAAAGAAAGACAAATACTTTATGGTATCACTTATATGTGGAATCTTTAAAAAAAAAAAATTAAATTGTGTTTTGCATATTTACAACTGTAAACCTACTTTTGCCCACCCCTGTATGTATCTGTATCTATTACAGGTGTGGGCTCGTGAGAGCCCTTTAGACAGCCTCGGCGAGGCTGTTGCCATCCTCCAGTGCCCAGGCTGTACGTCTGCAGGGCAGGCAGTCAGGAAGGGACGATGGATATAAACAGGGAGCAAAGACAGGCTGGAACCCATGGGGAAGACTGGAGTTCATGTCGGTCTCCCACTGCCCCCAACTCTGAAAATGGGGCGTCCTCCAGGAAAAGCTGGTGTCTCTTGTCATAGAAGGAAACATACACCTGGACCTGGGAGCTGAAGGAGGAGCCCACACCAAGGCCGGGAGCCCGAAGGTAAGTGACCACCCCACACCAACCTCCCGAGAAGAAATACTTTGGCTAGTGCCTCACCCCCACCCTCCACATCTCAGGCAAAATGGTTCTGTGGCCCACCCTACCTGGTACCTACAGCCTAAGCCACCGGACAGTTCATGTCAAGATTTTATAAAGTGAGGGGGCAGGTACATAGGTGTTTATGTTGCTGCATATTTATGTTGCTGCGTATTTTTATTTGAATGCTTGAAATACTGTACAATTTAAAAATAATTTCAGGTGTGAATCCACATATTCATTGTAGAAGTCCTACGAAAATAATGTGAAAATCCACTCCCTACCCCCCAAAAAAGTTTCTTTTGGAAACCAGTTAAAACATTATGTAAATAACTAGCCTTTCCAGTGAATAAATTAACAGCCCCCGGTGGAAACGATCCCGGCGATTCTAATTTCATCTGTCTTCTTGAGTGTTTGCAAGGTAATACCATCCCTCAGCATCAGCAGAGAAGATGGAAGATAGGTTTTTGCTAGAAACTGGATTCCCAAGTACTCATTACACAAAATTAAACTGCAGTCATTACTCAGAATTAACTATGGAGCTTCTAAACCAATAGACAAGTATTTCAGAAATCCTCACTGTTTTGCTATACTTTTTATTTGAGCTGGAAAGAACTATGATTTTAAAAAATCATATAAGTATTTTATAATGTGTAATGTTTGAAGAATCTTAACCATTCTTATAAGCCTCAACAATTAAACACATTCATGAAGCTGGTACTGAGATCATATGCCATTAATTATAAGTGCCCTACCAATCTAGGAGCCAAAGGGATACGTAAAAATTGTCCAAACTGAAGTCACTGTTGCTTCCCTATTTTATAAGCAACCAGGAAAAATAACATACACCAGGTTTTCCAGCTCTGTGACCTATGATGCCATCGAGACCCTCATTTTAAAGTCAAAGTACATCATCTCACTGCTGAGATGCGCTCTCTCGGGGTGGGTCGGGGGTCACCTGCAAATTAGGTAAAACAGCCATGAAAATGAAGGTGTTCAGATGGTTGTCAAGTCCTTTTCTGGGTTCTTGGGATTTTATTTAAGGTTTTTCCAGTTTTTGTTTGACTCTGGATATGTTATATTTAAAATGTTTCCTTGACATATAAAATTACAGTTGAGTCTAAAAAAATGAGGAATTTCAAGAACATGCTAGTACCTACCCACGGCTTTCATTAATTTGAGTGTGGGGTGAAAGTTTTTTAAGTCATAATTTATTGTTACCTTATATATCTGACAATAATTGGCTAAATTCTACATCTTTGTGTGTGGTTTTCTGTAATTACTAGGCTCTGCTTTAGGAAGGCTCCAGCCTTCTCCCAGCTGCGGATCACTGCCACCATTTTGCTCATATTGAGAAAGACCCACTTAAAAGTGAATTGCTCTGTATGAAATTTGCATAATGACTGTTGGGTAGTTTCTGAAAACATTTTTTGTTTTCAAATCGTACTTCACCAAAGATTTGGAAATGCTGATGTTTCTGCAATATTCAAACCTAGAAAAATAGCCAAAAAACAAACAGCGCTAATTAACAAATTGGAGTGAATGCCCAGAGCTGCTGTTAGCTGCATTCGGAGGGGGATACCCACCCCCACTCCCCAAAACACCAGAATCCAAACAGCATCATTAAAAACTGGTGTGAGTCAAGGCAATGTGGTGGTGTTTCCTTTAAGCACACCTTTAGCTGTTAAATACAGAGAGGTCTGCTTTGATTGCTACTTCTTGTCTATTGGCAAAGACTCTAAAATTAAAACTGGGTCAGAAGAATGAAAAAGCACGGCATTTGAAATGGGCAAAAAGAATTTGAGTTGTATTTTTGAAACAGTAGAATGAACAATATTCATGAAAAACTGACCATCACTCTATCTACGGAAAACCTGTGCCAGTTTAGCTTCTTGGATACATCTGTACACTACGCATTTCCCCCAAGACGGTCAGAGCACCAGCGCGACCCAATGACCCAGTGTCCCATGGGTGCTCCTTCCAGCCGTTATCCCTATACAGGTGCCCTTCTGGGTGATAGAAAAGAAATGAGAGAAATCCATGATCTGTACCGCAATTGGGTGAGGTGGCCTTTGCTGATCCAGAGGGTGTTGGACAGCTTTTAATTGAGCAATTAAAAGCTCACAACCATTATTTTAAAGCATCGTCCGTCATTCACATGGTTTCTCTGGAGCACATGGTGGCCAGAATCCTGTGGGAAAAGGGCTACAGGATCCCTCTGAGTTACTCAGACGGCTCCCCTAGCTGAGAAAGGCAGAGGGAGTGGACCCAAAGTAAGGGTGGGGTGTGCGCGTCCTTGCCGGGTGTGGAGGTGAGGGCAGGCTGGGATCTGTTTTCAGAATCAGGGCTCTTAGGTCACCAGTACTGGCCGGGGGGGCCCTCTTGCCATCTCCATTTGGAGGGATTCACAAACGCACCTGGGAGAGGTTTTCACATGCCCAGAGGAGCAGGAGGTGGGGGGAGGTCGCCTGATTCCCACCAGGAGGGCTGGGGGTGAGGAGTGCAGCCGTGTGCGTGTGCAGGGAGAGGCCACCAGGGAGCTGGCCACGAAATGACAGTTTTGTTCTCCGGCCCTCCCCAAAGACTTCTTCATTTTCAAGCTGTAGTCCCTCATTTTGATTCATCTGAAGACTACCTTTGTGACTCTGTCCCTCTGAACGCCATCCCCAGTATTATTCTCCTTCCTGCTGTCCCCTCAGAAGTTTGATGCTCCCCTTAGCCTCAGTCTAAAGCACTGGAACCATGTGCTTGTGCTTTGTTTTTCCTGATACATATTAAAATACACACATGGTTATTAAAATAGAAAGTGTTGACCTTGTCCCCCTAAAGTCACCTGAGGCCTCCTAGTAGTCCCTGCCCCTCACTTTGAAAAGCTGCTCTCACATGGCCCTCCCAAAAACAGAGGTTCAAAGTCACTGAGTGATTTGGTGTGATGGAAGAGCCCAGGGCCTTGCAAGCTTGGATACTGGGGTAAAAAGTGTGAGTTTTTTAAAGGGGCTCCCAGGAAAATGCCTCAGTCCCTCCCAGGAGTCCTCAACCCCCAGGGTCAGCCAGAGAGAACAGCTTTAACCTGCCACCTGGAAAGCAGCCTAATGAGAATTTCCTGGCTTGAGATCACCCCACCCTAATGAAAACCCTGTAACAGGACCCCCCAGGTCCGCCTCAAATGTTAGGCAATTCTTGGGGTAATTGGTTCAGGTGGCATCAAATACGAGCCAGGAAAATAGTGGCTGAGAA